CCCACGTGGGACAGAGTCAACCCTGCGTTGCGCAGTTCTCAACGGCCACGTTGCGCAGTTTCGCCCGATTAGACACGTTCTCTCGCGCGAACATTCACACTCGCATGCTCGAGCCGTCTGTGTCTCCGCCCATACAGCGTGCGTTGAGGATCTCTCAACGTGCCGTTGCGAACTGCGCAACGCAGGGTTGACTCTGGTACGGACTCCATGCCCCGCCTTTGGCTCCGCCCGAATTACCTTCGATTGTCCATAGAATGGATTTTCGTGAGTTTGTTTCTCTTCGGAAACCGAACCTTCATGCGTAAAACTTTGTGTATTGCATCTAGTGATCACAACTGATACATTCATGTTGAGAAAGAATGCAAGAATTTTCCGCGAAAGATTCCTTTAAGCATTCTTTATGATCCTAGCTGTCCAGCGAGAACCTGAGGTTCATATTAACCTTTCAGAACTTTGACGTTCACCGTCGCATAACATATCCCGTGGCGTTCAGTGAAAATAAATGTCGCCTCAGGCATTCCACGCTCCCTTTACTGATTCCATAAAACGTTTAGTCATACGATGTGTTCATGTCTGCGGTTTAAGAAATATACATGCATGTGACACGCTATTCAGAAAGATAGTTCATCGTTGTGAGCAGTTTTGTACAGCAGAGCGAAAAAAAAAACACCAATAATGAAGATACAACGAAAATGAATGATATAAACACAATAGCGCCCACCACGGGCTGAATACGAAAAAAAAGAGACAGCGCGATCTGGCTGAATTTTGGGCCATTCTTTGAACGATCGACGAGCGCAATGACTGTATGTTCGTTCATCGTTACCAGGGATCTCGACAAAAGCGCTTATGAATTTGAGGACCAAAAAATTAGAAAAATCAGCAAAAAAAAACGAAAAACGTATTCACGGAATGGGTGTTGGACACGACGTGAGGGTACATCGGTCTGGAGAAATAACATCATCTAGATGAAATGACGCATAGAAACATAAAGCTATTCGGGGGATAACGCCACTGATAACAGATTGGGTCACATTATTCTGGTATGATAACCCGAAAACCAGAAAAGTAACTGTTATCACTGACACATAGCGATTGCATCGTGGTGCAGATGTTAAAATACAAATGTGAGAGCGAATTCAGCAGTTGTGTCTGTTGCGAAGAGAGCAGTGACGACATTAAAGGATGAGGTGCATTTTAAAGAAGCGCGACGCACACGCCACGCATGCCTTGCCCTGTTCCCGCAACAACAACCAACAGCTGAAACCGCTGCAAATTCGTAGTTTACACATCTGATCCGAGGCTCACGCAAGGAAAAAAAGCTGAACTCGTTTTTTCTACCTGATTGAGTTTGATCTACCATTATTACGCTTCAAAACAATAGTTGACATATTTCAATGTGTCATTAACCGGTGCTAGGAAAGGATGGAAGCTTCAACGGACCTTCCGAAAAGAGGGGGATCAATTTTCGGATTCAGCTGACAAGGAAATCGATTTTACTGTCACGAAAAGGCTTAGAAAATAAGAAAAAAATCCGAATATTGATCGGGGTGGCAGATCATCGCCTATAAACATGAACTAAATCTATGTACAGAGAATAGTATAGGAAAAGCGAAAGTGCGTTGGGGATGGAGAAATTGGAGCCGCGAAAAAATAATAATAATAAAAACAAAAGGGTGAAAGACAAATGGGAAATCGAACTTATCAAAACGGAAAAGTCGATAAATCAATAAAAGCTTGCAATTGAAGAAAAAATGGTTAATAGACATACAATGGTATTATTCGGAGCAGAAAGCCAGCAAGAAATTGCCATATTCAGAAGAAAACACACATAATGGCACATAGAAGCATCAAAAGGGATTGATAGCCAAAAACTGAGATGTGCGCGGATTCGATCACACCGCTATCGATCGATTATCGATCGATCGATAATAGATCAGATGGATTTTCGTTTTTTAGCATCTTCCCATTGATTGTCTTTCACCATATGAGCGAGTTCAATGATGAACTTTCCCTCTTTGTACTTTTGACTTGATTCAAAAGCATGTTCCTGAAAATGCGTAAAAATAGCAATATTGATCATTATCGACATTTCAACAAATTTCATCACATTTACTAAACCAGTCCACCTATTACCATATGTTAAAAATAGGAAAAATATTATATTTTTTACGAGAAAGTCTATGAAACCGTCAATCTCGTAAATTTATTTCAGAAATCACGAAAACGTGATCATCCCAATCAAATCCGCTTTTTATTCGGTTCTACCGTAAGCTGGAATTATCGACAGGAGGACCACCACGCGACAAACGCGGCGCGACGCTCGGCACCAGGGCCAACCGTCATTCGCACTTTTTCGAAAATTTTGCCCTTACTTAGGGGTTCAATGCCCCCTCTCTCTCACACTACTCCCATGAGACTTAGGAGGCTCCCCCAATATAACCCCTCTCCCACCCTCGCTATCATGGCTGTTTCTACAGTATAATAGTGTCTGATCCTGAGACCAGTCGACACAGCCCAACGCAACCACTTTTCCTTCCAGACTGGTCGTCGAGCTGGGAGGAATGTGGGTAAAGAAACGGCAAATGTTCTATTTTTCTCATTTGAGCTTCTTTCGTGAGTAGTTCCTTAGCTAGTCAAAAAACCAGCCACAAAAAACTCCTCCTTAGCACCTACAACCCCTCAACACCCGCAGATGGACCCCCTGTTTACAGTTCCCTCAAAGATGGCCAAGCTCCACCCTAATTGCGACCCGCTCCCTTCATAAATCACAAATGTGACCCCCTCGTTCGAATAATGCGAACGGACGGTTGACCCTTCTCGGCACTGGAAGCTACTGTACCTAGTGACACTGCTGTTCGCACCTTCGCGCGCGATGAACTTTCTGAGCCGGTACCGTTAGGTCCAATGAAATGATACTAGTACAAGAGATGAGTTCATTGCGCACGTTATTCAAAGCTGAATTTCTCATCGCCGGTCCACCTTTTCAGAATACGCCATGCATCTAACGTTCATTTTGGGACGTAGAGACGTCTGAAAGCAGACTGGACTGCAATGCATGGGCTCTTGAAAACAGCAGACGTACGACTATGTTTTATTGGCCTTCCGTGCAACGTCTCGAGAAGGTACTTGAATGGCCTGAATGGGTTCTGATTCACCATTCTGTACAGACCAGACACGACGCCTTCAGCCACCACGTGCTACCGTTTCCCTTACATTCCACGACAACAAAACTTAGTCGAGCTTTGGCGTGCAACTTCGTGTGTACCCATGAGCGATCGAAAAACTCTTATTCCACCCCATTCGTCGCGTGCC